CTTAAATTACCAGGAACATATGCATAGATGTCAAAGGTCATTGGACAGTGGCAGGTGCATGTGGGCCCTATAATTTAGGAGGTTCTGCCACAAGAGCCCCAAGTCATGGTTCGTGCACTTCAATAGCTGCTTTCCAAGTACTTCTATTTAAACATAGATCTCTAGTTATATCCCAAGCTTTCAAATCTCTTTTTATTGTCTCTCCCCATGTCAATTTTGGTCTTCCTCTATCTCTCCTCATATTATTAGCTTAGCTTAGGACTCCACAATGCATTGGTGCCTCTGGAGGTCTCCTTTGGACATGTGAGAACTCTAGTTTGGTTTTGGTGCATTGATGAAACCCTTACTGCTAACCTAGTTTATCAAAGTGATCATGAGATAGGTAGCACATTCCAAGTGGTGAAACAAATGAAGACCATGACATGATGATGATGGCGATGCCATGGTGATGATCAAGTGCTTGGACTTGAAAAGAAAAAAGAGAAAAACAAAAGGCTCAAGGCAAAGGTATAAATGGTAGGAGCCATTTTGTTTTGGTGATTGAGACACTTAGTGAGTGTGATCACATTTAGGATCGATAGCCATACTATTAAGAGGGGTGAAACTCGTATCGAAATGCGGTTATCAAAGTGCTACTAGATGCTTTAACTCATTGCATATGCATTTAGGATCTAGTGGAGTGCTAACACCCTTGAAAATATTTTGTGAAAATATGCTAACATATGTGCACAAGGTGATACACTTGGTGGTTGGCACATTTAAGCAAGCGTTAGGAACTTCACCAGTGGAATGTCTGCCCGTAGAGTGCGGACAGTCCGACGGTGCCACCGGCGCCCTATACAAAAAAGACAGAGGTCACTGTAAGTGACCAGACGCTAGCCTCGGTTGGACCGGCGCGTCTGGTCAGTAGAAGCTGTAAAGACGCTGGCGTCGGTCTCTGACCGGACGCTGGGTCACTTAGTGACCGGACACTGGAGGGTTGCGTCCGGTCCTGCTGATGTGGCAGCGCACAGGGGAGACACCGAGTGACCGGATGCTGGGTGAGTCCGGTCGAGCATGACCGGACGCGTCCGGTCGTGATTTTACGCGAATGGAATCTTACTGGAAACGACCGGACGCTGAGGTCCAACGTCCGGTCACTTCGCAGCAGCGCGTCCGGTCATCACTTGACCGTTGAGATCAGGCGGCTCCGGTTCAACGCAGAAGGACACGTGGCATGCATCGCGTGACCGGACGCTGGGGTCCAGCGTCCGGTCACCCCGTGTTGTGCCCAGTGAAGGGGTACAACGGCTCTATTTTGTGGGGGCTTCTATTTAAGCCCCATGGCCGGCTCAAGCCCACTCTCTTGGCCATTTGCATTGACATAGCAATCTTATGAGCTTAGCAAAAGCCCTCCCACTCATCACCATCATTGATTCATCATCTTTGTGAGATTGGGAGAGAATCCAAGTGCATTGCTTGAGTGATTGCATCTAGAGGCACTTGGTGTTCGTGTTTTGCTGCGGGATTTACTTTGTTGCTCTTGGTGGTTGCCACCACCTAGACGGCTTGGAGCAGCGGAGGAGGATTGGCACGAGTTGGTGATTGTTTGTGGCCATCTTCGGTGATTGTGAGGGGGTTTGTACCTTCCCCGACGGAGCACCGAAAGGTAACTCTAGTGGATTGCTCGTGTCATTGAGTTACCTCACTTGTGGGTAGGTTCTTGCAGTGTCCAATTGTGTGGACGAGGTTCATGCAACACATCTTAGCCGCCGAACCACCAAGTGTTGGTCGACACAACGGGGACGTAGCGTGTTGGCAAGCACGTGAACCTCGGGAGAAAATTGGTTGTCTCTTGCCCTTTGGTATTCTCCCAGTGATTGATAAAGTATTCATCTTATGATTGGTTCACTCCTCTACATAGCGGTATAATCACCTCACTTACTCATTTACATTTCCGCATACTAGCTATAACAAGCTTTTTAGTGTAGCTAGAATTGAGAGCTTGCTTTGTGGATTAAGTTCATCTAGTAGAGCTCTTTAATGTAGCAATTGTGAGAGTTCTTAGTGAGTAGTGACCTAGTAAATTGTGTGCCTAGTGATCATAACAACTAGAATTGTTGGATAGGTGGCTTGCAACCCTTGTAGAGCTATAGCAAGTTTGCATTTCGCTATTTGTTATACTAATCAAATTGCTCTAGTCGGTTTGTAGATTTTTAAATATGCTATTCACCCCCCCCTCTAGCCATATTATGACCTTTCAACATGGCCAAAACACCTCAACCGATGTTGGACAAGCTTTTCTTTAATTGGTGCTACCTCTACGCGATCACGTATATCATCGTTCCGAACTCGGTCCATTCTTGTGTGACCGTAAATCCATCCATCGCAACATACGCATTTCTGCAACACTCGGTTGTTGAACACGTCGAATCTTTGTAGGCCAATATTCTTCTCCATACAACAAAGCCGGTCTAGTCAACGTTCTATAGAACTTGCCTTTTAGCTTTTGTGGTACCCTCTTGTCACAGAGAATGCCAGAAGCTTGTCGCCACTTGATCCACCCTGCTTTGATTCTATGGCTAACGTCTGCATCAATATCTCCATCCCTCTATAGCATCGATCCCAGATATCGAAAGGTATCCTTCTTAGGCACTACTTGACCTTCCAAACTCACATCTCCCTCCTCCTGTACAACTCCACCAAAGTCGTATCTCATGTATTCGGTTTTAGTTCTGCTCAATCTAAAACCTTTAGACTCAAGGGTCTGCTGCCATAACTATAGTTTTCTATTTACTCGCGCCTGGCTTTCGTCCACTAACACTACATCATCAGCGAACAACATACACCAAGGGATATCTCCTTATATGTTCTTGGTAACCTCATCCATTACCAAGGCAAAGAGATACGGGCTTAAGGCTGACTCTTGATGAAGTCCAATTTTAATTGGGAAGTAATATGTGGTACCATCGTTTGTTCGAACACTAGTCACAAACATTATTGTACATGTCCTTGATGAGGGTCACGTACTTTGATGGGACTTTATGTTTGTCTAAAGACCACCGCATAATATTTCTTGGTATCTTGTCATAAGCCTTCTCCAAGTCAATGAAAACCAAGTGGAGGTCCTTCTTCTGCTCTCTAAACTGCTCCATAACATGTCTTATTAAGAAGATTGCTTCTGTGGTTGACCTTCCGGGCATGAAACTAAATTGGTTTGTTGATATCTGCGTCGTTCCTTGCAGGCGCTGCTCGATGACTCTTTCGCATAACTTCATAGTGTGGCTCATCAACTTAATTCCCCGATAATTAGTACAACTTTGGATATCTCACTTGTTCTTGTAGATTGGTACCAATATGCTTCTTCTCCACTCCTTAGGCATCTTATTCGATCGAAAAATATTGTTGAACATCTTGGTTAGCCATACTATAGCTATATCCCCGAGACATCTCCACACCTTGATTGGGATACCATCAGGGATCATCGCTTTGCCCTCTTCCATCCTTTTCAAGGCTTCTCTGACCTCCGATTCTTGAATCATCCGCACAAAGCGCCTGTTAGTGTCATCAAACAAGTCGTCCAGCTGAACGGTGGTGTTCTTGTTCTCACCATTGAACAATTTATTAAAATACTCTTGACATCTATGTCTGGTCTCATCCTCCTTCACCATGAGCTGCTCCCTCTCATCCTTCATGCACTTGACTTAGTTGAAGTCCCTTGTCTTCCTATCGTGAGCCCTAGCCATCCTATAAATGTCCTTCTCTCCTTCTTTCATACTCAAACGTCGGTAAAGGTCCTCATAGGCCCGCCCCTTTGCCTCACTCACCGCTCGTTTTGCAGTCTTCTTTGCCACCTTGTACTTCTCTATGTTCTTTTCACACCTGTCATGATACAAGCGCTTATAGCACTCCTTTTCCTTAATAGCCTTTTGCACATCTTCATTCCACCACCAAGTGTCTTTTGAGTTGCATCCGCTCCCTTTGGTCACTCCAAGCACCTCTGAAGCAACCTTCCGAACGCATGTTGCCATCTTCTCCCACATGTTGTTTGCATCGCCTTCATCATTCCAAGGGCCCTCTTCAATGACTTTTTCCTTAAAGACCTTTGATGCCCCCCTTCTAATTTCCACCACTTCGTTCTAGCAACCCTAGCTTGTTTGTTCCCACGAGCTTGCACCAGAAAGTGAAAGTCAGCCACCACCAGCTTGTGTTGAGCGACCACACATTCTCCAGGTATCCCCTTACAGTCCACGCATGTTCGTTTATCCCTCCTTCTTATAAGGACAAAGTCGATTTGACTAGAGTACTGGCCGCTACTAAAGGTCACTAAATGGGACTATCTCTTACGGAAGAAAGTGTTAGCTATCATCAGATCAAAAGCTATGGCGAAGTCTAAGACTTCCTCTCCCTCCTAGTTCCTACTACCATATCCGAAACCCCCATAAACCGCCTCGAAACCTGCACTTGATGTACCTACATGGCCATTAAGATCACCTCCTAAAAGAGCTTCTCGCTATTAAGGACAGCTCTAACCAAGCGATCTAAGTCTTCCCAGAAAAGCCGCTTAGCACTCTCATCATGGCCTACTTGGGGGCCTACGCACTAATTATGTTTAAGACCATATCACTAATGACAAGTTTAACTAAGATGATCCTATCCCTTTGCCTTCTCACCTCCACCACACTATCCTTGAGGCTCTTATCAATCAAAACTCCCACTCCATTTTTATTTGAAGTTGTCCTTGTGTACCAGAGCTTGAAGCCGGTATTGTCCACCTCCTTCGCCTTCTGCCCCTTTCATTTAGTCTCTTAGACGCATAAGATATTTACACGCCTCCTAACTATCACCACTTTGCTTCACATTATTTGTTTAGTATTATCTTCAGACTCTAGAGAACCATCACAGCGTCATGACAATAAGTTAACATGAAGTTGTACTCACTGTTGGACGTGAGGCTACAGAGAAAAAAGGGAAGTGCAACTACTTGTTGAACATAAAGAAATAGAACTAATATTGCATACCGGGTCTAGCTGAGATTTGAAATGTCTATGAACGGTAATTGCCGCCACTGCCTGAAAGAATCAATGGATGCACACAAGAATCAATTCAAAGCCACAGCTGCATAAACAACAGACAGAACGTAGAATATAGAAGAACCTTTGTGGTCTATTTTCATAGCTTAGTGCCTTAGCAAACTTAATTCAAGTAGATTTGCAATAAATACTCCTAACTAGTGATTTAATCGGTAGCCACTTTGTTAAATATAGCAAAATACTACAATATGGCTGGCAACTCAATTTACAGTGTTGATAGTTTCTTTACGTTCGGCAAACTTGAGTGAAATTTCGGTGGCTGATACTGATAGCCTTCTTGAGGAATTTTGAGTGCCATTACACAATTACAATTATTGGTTTTGGTCAAATGAACCAAGTAACAAACAGATACAGACTTGAAATGTTGAAAAGGCGGAATAACATGTTGGAAAGTGGTCATTTATTTAGCAGGTTTCAGTGTGATTTCATTATTCTAGAGCTATTACTATCATTGGCCCGTTCGGCTTGCTGAAACTTGGCTGAAAACACTAATCTGGCTGAATTGTTGTGAGAGAAAAACATTGTTCCTGCTAAAAAAACAAGCTGAATAGTGCGGATTATAAAGTAAGCCGAACAGAGCCATGGAATTCACAGACTAATCACCATCATTTCAGTTTGTGTAAGATATGCCTCACCATCAGGGTCCCGTGATAGATGAACTTTCTGTCCTTGCTCTTCCCCAGCATCATTCCACTCTTTACTTACAATAGGATCCTGCCACATTAATTTCATATCCTCTGGATCCAAGCAATCGTCCCAGTATTTGAAGCTTATAGCCATTTTGTACTTATCAGTAGTTCTTTGTTTTCTTCGCTGTTGGGAAGAAAAACAGAAAAGACAATGAAATTTAGATGAGATATGGTCCTACTTTATTATTTAGGAAAAGTGAAACAGCAAAACCCCATGCCCCAATCTGCATTATGTCCTGGACTTACATATAAGGTGAAAAAGGGTTTTACATGTTCAGCAGGAAACTATTGATGGCAAGTTGTACATATAAAGAATATCCAATCATTTCATCAACAGATATCCAGCGCAATCACGTTTCTCCAGAAAAAAAACATGCATTCACTTGCAGATGAAAACACTCGTTGGTATCATCCGACAAACATATATAAACATAACATGATACCGATCAATTGACAGTCAGGAAAACCAGAGATACAGGAGGAACACAAATGACACCGAAATTTGAACTCACCCTTATGGAACAAAAACATGCAGAATTAGCGAGGCACGCAGAAACCTAAACAATTAGAGGGAGCGGGGCTACCGCTAAATTTGGCCTACCTATGCAAAGACAATGCTAGCTATGGTAAACTGGTCAGCCTCCTCAATTTGAATTGGTGTCCTACTAGGCCAAAACAAAATGACTCGATATGCACATGACACCTCGTAATCAATGACTCAGACCACAACAGAACATTCATCACCAAACCTTCGCGACATCGACAAACGCACAAACAAAAAAGACTATGAGAACCGCACGCAGTGCGAATGGAGCGGAAACCCAACTACCAACATCACGCTCTCCGTTCGGCTTACCCCATATTCGGCTTGTTCAGCTTCTTTTTCAGTCGGAACAGTATTTTTCTCTCACAACAATTCAGCCAGAACAGTGTTTTTCAGCCAGTTTCAGCCAAAATTCTGCCACCCGAACGGGACTATCATACCCACCACACCTTATGTCACGCGCACGCCGCCAAACAGTAAGACCACCAGAACATCAGCGGCAAGCCAAACATTGGCACCACCAAACAGAAGCAACGCGTAGGCGGCAAGCATCCCCCGTGCGGTAGCGCACCTCGATTCTAATCTAACCACAAAAATCTATACACTAACTAACACCCACCACCACCACGAACACACGCACAAAAATGGGGGGATTGGAACAAAACAAGCACCTCGCGTCCTCTCTCGCTAGATCGATGAAGCTAACGGAAAATGGAAATAAAATCGAGGCGACGTCGCGAATCGAGCTCACCAGTGCGCAGGCGCGCGGGGTTGGGAGGCCATTGGGGAGCCCCCGCCTCGGGTGCCTTGAGGAGCTCGGATTCGACGGGAATTCGGGAGGCGCGACGGTTTGGTGGGACGGGGAATTGCCGGCCGAATCGGGGGAGGGAGCCGGGTAGGGAGGTAGAGAGAGGCGCATGAATGAATTGGAAGAAGAGGGGGAGGGATGGGTGGCGAGCGGGACATTTAAATGTGGGGGCGCGGCGCGGGGACACGTGGCGGGCAGCAGCGATTCAGCGCACTGCTGGTGGGTGCCTCTGTCTTTCTGATCGGCGCAACCGCCTGCCTTCGGAGGGAAGCCAAAGGCGTTGGGCCATCTGATCGCTCCAGTGACCAGTGAATAGTGATGATCACTTGGACAGCACCAGCTGTCACGTCCAAGCGACGTTGGATCCTCCACAGCTGAAACATCAACAAAAGCGTGGCGCTGCGGTGCTCCGTGCTGGTGCTGCATTGGTGGTGCGCCAGACTTGCACGACGCCTGCGCTGCACAAAACCGTCATGCCCTTCGCATGTGCAGCCTAGCTTGCTTTGTAGTTTGGCAACATATACGGGATGTTGTTCGTTGGAGGCTGCAATGATAGATCAGTCTGCTGCGATTTTTTGGGGATGTGTAATATGACATGATCACTTTATCAGTTCCCTAATCTAGATTCGGGAGTCGTGGTTTCAAAATATTGTGAAACGATGCCTGCGCGGCTGGCTTTTTTCAGCGTTGTAGCAGCCCTTGCTCGCGGCGGCTGCAGCTTATTGCAGCTACAGTACATAGTAGTTGTTTCCTCGCATCCGCAGCCGCAGCCTGAAGTAGCTGCAGTGAGCAAGTTGAGTGTTTCCTCTCTCATGGTGACGGTAGCCATAGTTGTTGCGGCTGCAATTCATTGTAGCCGAACAAGCCCGATATAGCACTAAGTTGCGATGTAGGAGTACAATCTTTGTCACGCTTCCTGAGTATATGCTCTCTTTCTCCTCCATTCGTATAGATACGTTAGAGTTGTCCAACCTATTTACCAGACTATGCGCCGCGCCTATACATGGAGTTTTCCTTCGCAACTTTTAGGACAAGAATTGGTTTAAGGCCTTGGTGTACGTTATGCCAAACCAATATTTGGTTTTCTTTTGACTCTCGTTTGATTTGAATACCATATTTCGCTTATGGCACCAAAAGATTTGATAATGCTTATGCAACTAGAGACCAACTTTTGTCACAGAAGAGGGCCAGCAAAATCGTAGATCCCATTTTGGCTTGCCCGGTGATCAATCTGCCCGCTGAGGTGGTGACAACATGTAATGAGTGGTTGAAATAATTTCATGTCTTTTGGAGCTAGCACGCTTCAAAGGACCATATAATCCTAAATCATACTAGTGTATTACAATCCAATTAGTTTTCCTAGCAATTAAATCTGCAATTTAAAACAAGTACACGTCCATGTTATATTTTAGTTTTTCAAAAAGTTAATGACATGGTGGGTCTACAAAAGTTAATGACACAGGGAGCCAATGCATCATGCTCATACCTTTGGCTGGAGACCCGTTTGGATGAACTAGAACTAACAACTAATCATATGAACTAGCTAGTGAACTGATAACTAGTCCATAACTAATGAACTGACAACTACTCCACCTGTTTGGATACTTAGAGACTAAAAATTAGTCACTAGTTGTTGTTCTGTGGATCCAAATAGAGCCTAGACTCTAGCTCGGTTTGCATAAACACTATGGTTCCAATCCAAACATCTCGTACTGGATCAAAATCTAGCATTGCCTAAAACTAGTCATGGACAAATCTTGACTTGGCATATGGGAACATGAACTAAACAGACCCATTAATTTGCCCACATGAACCGCTGATGGCGCCTTATGATATGTTGTGTCCAACGAAACCGTTGAGTGCGATGCGTTAGATGAGACAACAAGGTAAAAAGCGAGACCTTGCAACATCTTTCGTTTTTTTTTTTGGTTATATAAATATAGTATGTTGCTGCATCTGTCTAGCCCTTGGCGCTTGTTGGGCAAACTCAAAATCAGAAACATTGGGTAGTAGAGTAAGCAGTGAGGAAAGCTACTCTGCCCCCATCAATTCGAACTGACAATGACTGAAACCTGACGAGCATTTCTTTGGTCGGTGGCTCGGTGCATTGTTCAGAAATTTTCATTCCTGGAAAGGCACGTTTCGACGTCACTGAAGCCCGTCGCAGAATGCGCCGGAGGGCCGGACGGAGGTTTCTAGGCCCTTTTCGGCCCATTCCCGAAGCCGCACGGCTACGGCTCTGATTGGGCTGTGATGGCGAAAATTAGCTTGCTCCCATCTTCGATGAAGACAATCCTGTTGCTAATTATTATTATTATTGCCCTTAAAAAAAGAATGGCTTGTCCTGGTGGCTCATAGTCTGGATCGACTGATCGAGCGGCATATGTGGAGCACTTTTCTTGTAGAGAACGAGTGGGAATCGAATCTGCCTTTCGTGTGCTGTTTTCGGAAGAACAATGGCGACCGATGGTGCTAATGCTTGCCTTATTTTTTAGCTATATATATGTTGTGATGTCTAGCATGGATGGAAAAGGAAATGCCATGCGTGGGCAACCAACCACGAATTTGTTCTGCACTAAAGTTGCCTGTCTGCTTCCTTTCGTTGAAGGTGACCTTCGGTTGCACGTTATGCTTCCAAAGTGCTAAATTCACATTCCAACTTAGAGGGTGAATAACCAACAACAACAAGTATCTTTTTTTTTTCCTGAAGAGTACTGCTTTAGTACCTTGATCACACTATATTACTCCACTAGTCTACAATTCTTGACGTTTTAGATTATCTATAAAAAAATGTAACTTTGGCTATTTCAGTTACAATGTATAAAAAATCAAAGAATATACAATTTTATTAAAGCAAATTTTGAGAGCCGCGCTACCTCAAGTTGAGTTATTAATAGTCAAAGTTACAGTTAAACATATTGTCTCAGTGTCCTCAAAGTAAATATCTTTGTGTGAATGAAACAACAAAAAAATGTGGAACTACACAGAGTATTACATACTACCTCAAGTCAAACTTATGACTTTGTGGCAAAATAAATTAGTTTTATTTTGGTCTCGTATGGCATAGCTCCAGAGTCTTTCATCTAAAGTTGGCAAATGATTGAATTGATTCGTTTTGTTCATATACTTCCTCTATCCTAAAAGGAATATAAATCTCATTTCCAGACGACTCAAACAATTCTAGGTCTACCGAAAATAAACATCAACATTTATATCTTTAAATAAGGTTATTATGAAATATATCCCATAATTAATTTAGTGATACTCATCACACATCGTAAATTTTAGTAATTTTATTTATATTTGTTGTGATTGACTTCTCAGAAAGCGAGAATTATGTTCTTTTGCACTGAGGGAGTACTTTATATTAGATATAAATATAAAATCTTTAAGTACTTTAGTTTAACGGAAACGCTCTAACCCGAGCGTCTAACATCCGAACGCTACACCGACTCTCTGCGTCACCCGCGCCGCCCCATCCGCACTCTGCGCCGCCGCCGCCGCCCATGACACCCCCACCTGGCCCTCTGTGCGCTGCCGCCTAGCTCCGCGTTGCCAATAAGCTCACCGATGACCTCCATGCGCCACCCACCCGCCCTCTGCGCGCACCGCTAGTGAGCACACAGGTGACCTCCACGCGCCGATGAGCCTCCATTTGCGAAGCAACAAGGAGATGTTTGCGCTGAAAGAGCATGTTGCAACGTATATTTCAAGTGTTCAAGGTGTTTTAGAGGTATGT